TTAATTGATATTTTATGCACGTAAAAAAAACTTTTAAGATTTCTCTACACGCTACAAGTACACTACAAGTTCACATTCAATACAACTAAATTCAAAATTGCATTCAAAATGCCATTATGGAACAAAACCCCATAATTCGTTGCATAAAGCATTTGATCCTGCTTTGACTATTTTCATTGGTGGAGCAAAAGTAGACAGGTATTGTGTCTAAGATGTTAATTATTCCTCAATATTAACTTTGTTCAAGTGTTAAAAAATCAATATAATAGCAATTTCATACTCACAATCATGCTTTTGCTCTAAATATCATCATCCATTCACATTCCTAACCCTAAGCATGAGTAATAGTAGCCTTATAAAACACTGCTAATTACCTTTCCCTTTCAGTCGGTCACTCTCAACGTCACGTCGGTGACCGACGAATTGGGATCTCGCTTATGGCGCTTTTCCACTGCGTGGTACGAATCGGCTCGGTACGGCACGGTTCGGCTCGGCACGGTTTGCATTTCCACTGCAGGTCAGTACCGCTTTAGAGTGGGCGGGATTATTCACATGTCGTTATAGTTGTGCCGCCTCTACTACCACGACTCATAAAAATTTTTTAATTCTGCATCGCCCCATCAAGCTCTCGCTGGATCCGCTCCTCTGCTATCAACGAGAGGAACGTCTGTTCTTCCACAGCAGACAACAAAACTTTTAGGTTATTAAAAAAAGGTGCGCTCGTTCAAAACAGTTGCGTTCGATCCTTCGCTGGCTGTGCTGATTTAAATCTAGCGGTTCTTTTGTGTTTGTGTCGCAAGTTCAGTGACGCAGGTAATGACGATTCTCTCCGGCCAATCTGTGGATCAGCAGAGTTTACACGTCACGTTTTGGTAACGGTACGGTTCACTTGGAACCTCAACCAAGGTGGTACTAAAAAAAGTACCAGGTACTGTACCCAGTGGAAAACCCCCCAAAAGTGAACTGTACCGAGCCGTAACGAGCCGTACCGTGCCATACCATGCAGTGGAAAAGTGCCATTAGAGAGACCAATCCACTTCAAGTGTAAACTAAATCACAGCCAGGGGCGGCGTTTCCGTATGGCAGAGTATGGCAGTTGCCATACCCTAGCCCAGTCAGGTGTGCCGTGGAAAATTATCTAAACTTCATATCTCTATTATAATTCGTTATTATTATTTTAAATCAATGCTACTGGTCTTCCTTATGTCTGTTTGAGGGTTTTACAAATATTGATCCAATGAAAAACATTTAAAAGAGCTTGTCACTAAAGCTCGTAATGCCATTCTCAAACTGTCAGCTAAACCTCATAACTTCACCCCGCCTCCATTCAGATTGATGCGCCACGCACAGCCTGGAGACAGATCTCCGCTTGTTCGCAATGTAAGGGTAAATAAATAACTGTGATGTTTGGAAAAGTACAGCGTTTTGTTTATTTAAACACTATGTCTATAAAGGTCAATGTTTTTGTGTGTTTGAAGAGAGGAGAAGAGTCTTAGCTTTTGACGTCTAGTTGTAGCCATATACTTTTGTACGTTTTAAATATCCTGTGCATATAGCGCTTCATCGTTTCATGATATTTTGGCCAAATGTATTAAACGACAAGAAAAACTATAGCACCCATATAGCTACAATAAAAGTTAAAACCTGTAAGTTGATGAAAGCATTTAATGCGATGCACTTGCTGCCTCAGATACAGCTGTTCTAATGACAGACAAAACAGATCTCCGTCATTCGCTGGTCAAAAACCAACTCCATTTAATGTTAAGTGCAAGTGTCTGATAAAGCCACAGTACCAACTCTGATGACGTTTAAACGTTATCCTTTTCTATATTTTTTCCTATACTTCAGTGCTTAGTGTTGTGCCGTTGGATTTTTTATTTATCAAAACTGTGACCCCCCCCCCCCCCCCCCCCCGCCACTGCCATACATTATGGTTTTGTGAAACTGATCACAGCGTGAGCATAAAAAGGCAGCCGGTGCAACACATACCAGCTTTCGCTTCGGAGCTGAAACATCGTTCTGCTCCTACCAAACTGCTTCATGTGTGATGAGTCTAGCGCGCTCTAGGGAGCTTCTTGTGTTGGTGGACGGCGCTTCAGCGGTGGTCGTTCCCGTGTCGAGTGGGTGACGCACTTCAGGCTGCACTACCCCCTGTCGTGCTGCAAGCGGCCATCTCCCCTGTGCGTCTCAGCACGTAAAAGAGCATTTTCCTGTAAGAGCCTTTTTCTCTAAAAGAGCTTACACGGGTGCGTCTTTGTAAAGATGACGGATCGTCTTTTTAAAGATGCCGTTTTACCCGTGCGTTTCTGGATGTGGTCATTACCTAGCGCCGGGTGATGGTCACGATAGCTGCCTCACGTGTCTGGGCATTAAACACGCTGAGGTGGCGTTCGCGGATGAGCCATGTTCCCATTGCGGGAAGATGACCATCTCGGAGCTGCTCCGTTGCCTGTGCCGTGATCTAGTGTTCGTCCTGGCGGTAGCCAGGCGAGGACTACTTTGGGCAGTGGCACGGGCGGTCTGAGGGTTACAGTGGTGGCAAACCCCTCAGGGAACCAACCCTCGGGGGACCATCACTCCTCTAGTGCTTCGCAACCAGTTAAGCCACCAAAGGAACGCGCTGGGCCCTTTTCAAAGAGCGTACCAGCGGTATCCTTCGGTGCTCCTCCCGAGGACAGGATGTTGATCACTGCATCAGAGGGAGAGCTCTCTGGAGAGGAAGATTCGGCTGTGCTGCCGCCCTCCGGGATGGTGGCAACGCCTGGATCAGATCTGGAGATGTTGGCTATGCTTTCCCAGGCCGCGGAGAGGGTAGGGCTCGAGTGGAAACCTCCACCGCATCCCGAGCCCACGAGATTGGATGATTGGTTTCTCGGGTGGCTCGTGCTGGTTCTCAGCGCCCCACCCCGGTGCCTTGCTTCCCAGAGGTGCATGAGGAGCTCACCAGGTCATGGACGGCACCTTTTACTGCCAGAAACCGACCTGCTGTTTCCTCCTCCCTCACCACCCTCGAAAGGGGGTGCAGCTAGGGGGTATACGGCGATCCACCTGGTGGAGCAGTCGGTAGCGATGCAGTTGTGTCCTAAGACCGGGAAACCCCTCGCTCCCCTCCCAGGCCTGTAGGCATTCGTCTGGTCTGAACGGCGGTGCCGACAAAGTACGGTTCCTCAATGCCCCTGTGTCTCAGACCAGCCTCTTCTGTGACGTGGTTGAGAGCTTTGCCCAGCAGTTCTCGGCTGCACAGAAGCAGACTGAGGCGATTCGTGACATCCTGCCCCGGTGGGCAGCTGCTGCTTCCACCCGTCTGCCGGCCGCAGCGCCCCAGCCTGCTCGTCGCCGAGGGCGGCCCCCTGCGTCTGCCCCCACTCCCGTGCCACATCCGCCTCCAGCCAAGCAGCGCCGTGGAGCCGGGCATAGGCAGGCTGCCCCGTCCATCCAGGCCCCCGTCAAACCTAGCGGTAAACAGAAGAGCAAGCGGCCCTGAGATGGGCGACCCAGAGATGGAGGGATCTGCTCTTTGGGAGATGGTGAATGCACCACTCCCTCCCCCGGAGGAGGGCTGGGTGGAGAATATTTTGTTTCGTTTTCCCCTGCCGTCGGCCTCACAGTTGATGGCACCTAAATTCTCAACAAAAGAGCCGTTTTCTCTATCTCTGGGTCCCAGGAAGGCACGGAGAGTCGCGGACGGGCCAACATTGGACCACACTCATCCTCCTCTGTCGCCAGCAGGCAGCAGCGGGCAGTTCGAGATCATCAACAAAGGCCCTACTCACGCACCCTCTGCCAAACTGTGGAACCAGGTAAGTGTAGCACCACACACTCAGACCTAGGCATGGGCCAATTACCGGTTTCAAGGTACACCGTGATTTGAAAATTTCACGGTTTCAAAACTGCTAATATTTTCCATTATACCTTTCCTGCTGTATGTGCTGTTTTTCATGTCTCCTCAAAGACTGAAAGTCTAGGAATCCCTCAGGTTGAGTGCAATGTAGAGAGTAACATGACCCTCCTCCTCCTGTTGGTGTGAGCGAGTGGTCAGTCAGTCACGTGTGTAGGATGGCTGAACTTAAGGAGCTTCCCATGGAACTCATACGACCGGCAACCGGACGTTTTTTGTCTTATTGCAAGCAGCTTGTCTCTGTTCTGGACTTGCACAAACTGCGTTGCAATGCAATCGTTTTCCAAAATGTCAATTATGTGAAAATATGAAGTCTGTAAACACTCGTTAACACAGGCCAGAGATGCTGAAGATGGACGCACAAAGAAAAATACTGTAGCAGGCAGATCACTCACTGTTCATGATGCACAAACTATTCGAAGAAAATCCTCAATATTGATTTGGGGGTTTATATGAATGTGTTTCTGAGGGGAACTGACTGTCTTCAGAAAAGTTTATGTGGTATTTTCTTTTAATCTTGTCTCTGTAGAGTTCATATTAAAGCAATGTTTCAGTGAAGTGCTGCTTTGTTTACAGCAGTAACCAATGAAGCGCTGTATCTGGTGTTCCATGAGCGCCTCCTGCTGTCAGAGAGTGAATCTGCATCTCATTCAGAGCTTCTGCTGTTTGCTTCGTTCGGGCATATAGTATAATTTCACAAAGCTAGTCAGAACATTCAGTTTTTTCTTCAAATTGGTTTATTATTAAATCAAATTATGTATATGATATTATATAACTAAATTATATTAAATGATATAAATGATATGTACATGAATTATATAACTAAAATTAAATAACTGTAATTACAGATTTAGGTTAAATAAAATTGTCAGTCATTATTTTTCTTCTTTTTAGGAAACAAATCAAAGAAAAAATAAACAAATTCTATTGTTCCTAATATTCTGTATGTTGCTCAAAAACAAAATATATTGTGTTCAGTGGAAACACAATAGTTTTTTTTTTTGCCCAGTCATTTAAAAATAACACATTTTAGAGCTGTAACGACAATACCGTTATACCGTGAAACCGTGATATTTTTGCTTAAGGTTATCATACCGTCAAAATGTCATACCAGCCCATGCCAACTCAGACCCCTCTTCGGTCCCTGCGTTCCACCTCGCTGCCCAACTGCAGGTACGGCGGTGGTTCCGCTGGTTCCGCTAGCACGGTATCTGGGTGCCTGGCTAGCGCTACCCAGCCCGTAGTTTGCACCATCACTTCGGCGAGAGCACCGTCTACGAAACCCGCTTACGCCTTGAAGTGGAACCTGTTAGTCGAGTGGTGTTCTTCTCACCGAGAAGACCCCCTGGAAATGCCCTATCAGGGTCGTGCTTTCCTGTTTGCAACAAGGGTTGGATTGAAGGCTGTCTCCCTCCACCCTTAAAGTCTATGTCGCTGCGATTGCGGCTAACCATGACCCCGTGGAAGGGAAGTTGGTAGGGAAGCATGACCTGGTCATCAGGTTGCTTAGGGGGGTGAGAAGGTTAAATCCACCCCGGCCCCCATCTATACCCTCTTGGGACCTGTCTCTAGTGCTCAAAGCAGTACAGCAGGGCCCATTTGAGCCTTTGCAGTCAGTCGAGCTAAAGTTTCTTTCAATGAAAACTCTGCTCCTGCTTGCACTGGCCTCCATCAAGAGGGTAGGGGACCTGCACGCATTTTCGGTCGTGGCACACAGGGTGTGCCGGCCCGGCTATGTGCCCAAGGTTCCTATTACC